AGATGAAGTTCTAGGAAATGTGACACAAACTGACCCTCCTGCACACCTGTATGAAGCTGATTATGGTGCAATGTACGGGCCAGAATTTGCGGATATGCCTCATCTCGGTGACTATGGATATTACTCATCAATAAATAATGGTGAGTTATCTTTAGGCATGGAGTTTTCAAGAAAAGAAGAAGCGATGATGGCTATAAAAAATTACAATATCCGTAATTATGTTCAGTCCAGAGTCAACCGATCGACGACCAAAAAATATGTATGCTATTGTGCCCGACGCAAAAACGGATGCAATTGGATGGTTCGCGTATCGAAAATGAAGAGGAAAAACAACATATGGTAACTAACAGTATACAACGGTCCTCACACATGTTGTGCTGGAGGGGTCAACCAAGATCATCCCAACTTGGACTCTGAAATGATATGCCAACCATCATACCCATGGTAAAAGCAAGCTCTCATATAACTGTTGTAGTGTTGATTTCAGCTATACAATCGCAGTATGGGTATATTGTCTCCTATAAAAAAGCTTGGTTGGCAAAACAAAATGCCATTGTCAAACTTCATGGCGAATGAGATGCATCTTATAACGAACTTCCAGGTTGGTTTAGGCTGGTGCGGACGTTGAATCATGGGATAATTGTGGACTTCGAAACCTCATATGCCTACCATAATGATCGAGTTCTTCACGATCGAAGCCAATTCTACCGGGTTTTTTGGAGTTACCCACAGTACGTTAATGCTGCCAAATACTATAAGCCTGTGGTCCAGATCGACGGGACTTTCTTGTATGGAAAATAAAGCAAGTTTTATTATTGGCAGTTGTCCAAGATGACAATCGCAACATTCTTCAGTTGCTTTTGCTCTTGTCGAAGGAGAAGCTACAGATTCTTGGGCTTTTTTCCTCCGAAATTTACGTGCAAATGTTATCACGAGGGAAAACATCTGTGTCATTTCAGATCGCGGAGCTGAGATCAAAGCAGCAATGGAGCCTTTGGGTCCAATGTGGCAACCACCCTTTGTCCAACATAGGTATTGTCTCCGACACATTGTTGTGAACTATCATGGAAGGTACAAGAAGAATGATGAGCGTCAATTAATTGTGTGCATGGGTAAGTGAAAGCAAGTTAGTAAGTTATACATTTTTTGATCATTTTAATTTTGCAAAGAAAGCAAATTAGTAAGTTATACATTTTTTTATCAGGTTACGAACTACTTCCTCGAATGTTTGAATCAATGCTTCAAGATTTGCGGGGGAATAACGAGGAAGGATACGATTACATCAGCCTCATCGATAAAGAAATGTGGACAAACGCATATGATGGTGGATATCGATATGGACACATGACGACCAACTTGGCTAAGGCAATCAATTCAACCTTAAAGGGTGAACATCACTTACCTGTAGCGGCTTTGGTAAAAACTATATATTTTTGTTTGGGGGCGCTTTTTGCGAAGCTCGGGGGGACAAGCTCAAACTGGATGCAAGGCGGTCATGTCTATCACCCTAGATTAGTTGCAGATCTACAGAAAAAAATTGATGCATCAAATGGAATGCCTGTAACAAGCTTCTCTAGAAGGCATGAAATGTTTTGTGTCACAGAGTTGTCGCGACCTCTTCAAGGGATTGAAGTTGTGTCGTTAAGAGTAAATATAAGGGATAGAACGTGCGACTGCAGGTTTTTTCAAGCTCTGCAGTATCCATGCTCTCATGTGATAGCAGCTTGCTCGCACAAACATTAATACTATAACCATTTTGTGGATCCGTATACATACTATCTGAAGTTTTTAAGGTATATAAATTTGAGTTTCCCCCCATAGGTAATGACAAAGACCCTGATGAGGTTCAAGATTGGCTTCCGATTGTACCAAATCCAAGTTTATTGAGGGAGCGTGGTCGTCCAAAATCCAATCAAATTCATTGCGATATGGATATTCAAGAAAAATCTAGACAAGACAGAAGATGTGGGCATTGTAGAAACCCAGGATACACGAGAAAAACATGTTCACTTCTGTTGTCATCAAGTAACAATTGATGAGGAAATGATGTATTTGTTTATCAAATAATAATTCTTGTACTTTAATTTGCATTTACTTCAAGTTAATGATAACCAAATTGGTATTTGAATATAATTTTAAATACAACAAACTTACAATAAATATTAAATGATAAACAAATTACAATAACTGATATTAAATGGTAATAAACAAAATTAACTGAAATACATTAAAAAAGTCCAACAAATTTAACAAAATAAAGTAAGTATTAAATGAGAAATAATAAAAAATTACAATTTAACAAAATAAAGTAAATACAATATAAAAAAAAATCTATCGATGCTGCGACGCGAATGCGTTTCGCAGGGCGGTGGCTGTCGGTCTCGAGGAGGATTTCTTCGTATCACTGGTTCTGACTCCTCGCTGTCATCATCATCACCATCGTAGTCGTCGTCGTCGTCTTGAGCAGATACATGAGGTTGATGAGGAGCTGATGACGATGAAGCACCTCCATAGAATAAGGACCCTGGAGGTGTATGACTGACTATCCCATCGGCTTGCGAAAACTGGGAAAACCCAAACATCGCTGAGTATGAAAACTGTACAGGAGGTGTCTCTGCTGCGACCATGGGTGATGAGGCTGAACCCGCCAAATATCCAGCATATGAACCCCAAGTTGGATCTGCAAACATAGACCCATAATAGCCTCCAGGAGGGGTCATCTGTGACGGTGGCGGCGGTGGGGTCATAAAACCAGGTGAAGGCGACGGCAGTGACATCTGGTAATGGAAAGGCGATGACGGCATCATATATGACTGCGGTATCATAAATGGCTGTGGTGGTTGCTGTGAAGGTCCTGCTGGTGCAGATGAGGATGAACCGGAAGCACCTACTCTCCGTCCACGAGTCGGGGGACGATGGTGCTATGTCGGTGAATGTCTCTGTCGACGTCGTGGAAAGGTCCGCCCTCGTGCATCATCGGGAAGCAGAAACGGTTTCCCGTTACTGTTGAACCACTCATAATAACCCTCAGCAACCATCAAGAAGTCAGCAAAAATGGGCTCTCTACGGGGAAGGCGCCGATGTCGATCCTCCCACAACACGACCCACTCATGATGTCTCACCAGCCAATCTGTATCTGTCTTGCCGCGTCTATCTAAGCTATGCAACTCGTCCATATTGCGAGGTGCTTCCGGAATTGGTTGAAAACAACCAAACTGCCGGAGCACGCGATCAGTGGATTGCCACTCGACGGTCGCATAACAGATCAGAGGGATCATCGCCATCTAAACATCTGATGGACCCCTCAGCTCAGGTGGGATCACCGCCCTCACATCATCAGTAGAATATGACACCCATTCAAACTAAAACAAATAATATATAATTTTTATCAAAATAATAATCTAATTATATAACTATAATCTAAAATCAATTTTTAAACATTAAAATTCATACATGTGTGACAGCCTTCTGATCGATTAGCACCCTAATTTTTATAAACCATCAGGTAGCTCCTGATGATTTTTCCTATCAGTAGACCACCTATTCAAGAAAAAAAATTATTATACGCTGTATAAAATTATTAATATACAAAATCAGTTTTATAATTACCTCAGAAGTAGTGGAAACACGAATGGGTTCTTCACAACGGGACATAAAAAGGGCAATCGATACCATGCCCAAGACTGCAGCAGTAGGAGACATTCGCCGATAGCATTACGCCTGTAGTCAATGGCTCCACACATCTCCCTGTATAGCAAAGCCAAAACTGCCGAGCCCCAACTGAATGATCCGGCGAGACGAAAGTCGCTAAGATGTTGCAACCACATGCAGTGAACTAGGTTGCGCGATTTGTCCGGCATCAGCAACCCTCCTATCACTGCAATATTCATGCCCGTGCATATCTTAATCTATCCTCAGAAGCATCTGCGCTCAATTTCCGAAAATTGGGCATCTAACCAATTTAACGGTATCCTACCTCCGATAAAACTTTCGGGACACGTCCTAGATTATCGCGGCACAAAGTAGTCCAAGAACCGAAAGTTATCCATGATATCACATCTCCATCCACCGGAAGCCCCAGGTGCATAGAAGCATCCTCAAGCGTGATCGTGCACTCTCCGCACGGAAGATGGAATGTGTGGGTCTCCGGTCTCCACCGCTCTACTAAGGCAGAAATAAGGTCTGGTTCTATCTTACAGTGATCCTGATATCTACCTATGTAACCAAATCCAGCCTCTACTAAATACGACAAGACACAGCTAGGTATCACTAACTTAAGATTCCTAATAAAATGATCTAATACACGATCATTCCCTAAAATAAATAATTACAAAAATTAATTCTTAATCTAATAATCATGCATTAAATAAATCAACTAATTATTACTAATAATTTAAATTAAATTAAAACGTTAAAATGTTACCATATCAGCAAAGTGTCGAGATATATGATTTACATCCAAGCTAAGTAGATTGTCTTCCATTATATTTGCAAAAAATTATATTAGTAAAATATTAAATAAAGTAAAATACTTAACTAAATTAAATACATAATATTAAAAATATTATAAAATATACCTTAAACAGAGAGAGTATTTGAGAGAAATTAAGAAAATTTGAGAGAATTTGGTGTGATGAAAGTAATTGAGGATGAGCTATTTATAGGGAAGATGGAGGTGTGAACGAGTGGGTAATTAAAGATATAACGCGCCTCCTGATCCGCGTTATACCCCTACGTGGCGTATAACGTGGATCAGGGGCGCTATACCCCACGTGACGCCAAATTAACATATAGCGCAGGACAGGAGACGCGTTTTACTGCTACCAGTGTTAGATAAAAAAATATAATTTAATCAATATTAGATCGATAAATATACCGATCACTAGTAATTTTTCGGAAAAAAACGCCGGAAAATATTATTAAACCACTGTTCTTGTTGAAACTGAGTCGTCTTGCTCCCATCTTTTCATCGTCGCTAAGCCCACTCGCCAAAATAGAAAAAAAGAATTCAAAGGAAAGACCCAATTCAAATACTATTCTCTCGCTTTCTTCTCAAGTCTTCTTCATTCCATTATCATCTTTGATTCATCTGATCCAAAAGAAAGAAGAAGGAAATAAATAATTTGATCTTTAATTTACTGATCAATTTCATGGCGTCGGAGCAATTGATGTTGGGAGATGGGCCCCGCTACTACCAGATGCAATCGGATCCGCTAACCTCCAGGACCTCATCAGCCGTCTCCTCCACTGAGTCAACTCGGATTTTCGATGAGTTACCTAAAGCTACCATCGTCTCCGTCTCTAGACCCGATGCCGGCGATATCAGCCCCGTGCTCTTATCTTACACCATCGAATTCCGATACAAACAAGCAAGTTCCCTTTCTAAATTAACTTCGATAGTTTAAATTCAAATTATATGTTTTGATCTCTAACTTATTTCTTTCCTATTCGTACTAATTTCTTCATTTTTGATTCTTCAGTTTAAGTGGCGGTTAATAAAGAAGGCTTCACAGGTTTTCTACTTGCACTTTGCTTTGAAGAGGCGATTGTTTATTGAAGAAATTCACGAGAAGCAAGAGCAGGTGTGTACATAACAAAACGACTATGTTTGTTTGTGTTTTGCCAATTAATAGCTCTTTGCTTCGGAAAAGGTTTAGTATTTGGATATGGTTTTCACGCTGAATATTATTATATTAAAGGTTAAAGAATGGCTTCAAAATCTAGGGATAGGAGAACATTCGCCAGTTGTGCAAGATGATGATGAACAGGATGATGATGCTCTTCCTTTACATCAAGATGATAGTACTAAAAAAAGGTATTTGGTGTCACAAAATTTCCAAGAAAATAAAAGAAAATTTAACTCCCAACACTTACAAGTGCCTTTTCTTTTATATATACACTCAGGGATGTTCCATCAAGTGCTGCTCTTCCGGTTATTAGACCAGCCTTGGGAAGGCAGTCTTCTGTGTCTGACAGAGGAAAGGTTGCCATGCACGAATATTTGAATCATTTTCTTGGAAATATGGATATCGTGAACTCTCCAGAGGTACAAATTTCCAAACACGGTTATAAACTGATGCATTTGTGGAATCATTTATTCCTTCTACATTTATCTTCTTAATAGGGTTTAGAGATTCCTTTAATAGTTTCTATTATTCCTAGAAAATAGACCATGTATCTTGTGCTTGTGTTGATAATAGAACACCAAATTCAACGAAGCTTTTTTTTTCCGCATGCAACGATCATGAAGTAGATGAAGCCGGGGGGATATAAATATTAATAAAATGAGGGTTAATGTCTGATTATCAAGCCATCAATTAAAATTTGGAGGGTTAGGGTCTAATTTGCCTAATTTAAACCAAAAAATGGAGGTCAAGCATAATTTGCTTACTTTCAAAATAAACAGGGACCTAAGAAGTATTTAAACTGGAAAAAATGGGAGTTGGGGCTTTATTTTTCTAGTTTCAAAACTGAGAGGGACGTTAAAAGTAGTTGGACCCCCCTCTTTATTTATTATTTTTTGGGGGATATATTATAATAAAAAGAAGTTTATGTCTGATTCTTAAGTCATCAATTTAAAATTTAAAATTTGGAGTTCGAAAATGAAAAAGATCTAAGAAGTATTTAGACCAAAAAATGTAGGTCAAGCTTAATTTGCCTGATTTCAAAATAAATAGGGACCTAAGTAGTATTTAAACCAGAAAAATGAGGGTCAATGCTTAATTTTTCTAGTTTCAAAACTAAGAGGGACCTTAAAAGTATTTGGACCCAAAAAATTTGTTGTGGGTGCAGGGCTTGATTGTCTTAGTTTCAAAAGAGGGACCTAGAAAGTAATTTGAACAAAAATTTGGTACAGGTAGCTCCGTCCTTGAATGTGATTGATAAATATTGTGTGTTGAATTGAGTTTCATTGTTCTATTTATGTGTTGTTAAGGTCAAGGTGTGGTCTAGCCACTAGAACGATTATATTTCTTAAGACCCAGGGCACAAAAAATGTGCTTGCCTGAGTAAAATAAGATGCAATATGTGCATGCCTACATGTGTGTGTGCATATATCTAAAGATAAGCTTAAACATATATTTCTGGTATATACTTTAAAGAGCTGAACATACAAGATTTCTTTTTAATTTGTTGGATAATGCATGATTCCTATGGTATCATGTATGTTCTTGAATATTCAAACATTTAAAATGTAAGGAGTTCGTATTTTCCCTTTATATACTATTACAGGAACAACTAATGAACAATAAAAAAATTGAAGTTGTTTGAGATTTGAGAGAGCTTAAATCAGAGAACATTGTTTTGGCCTGTTGCCTTACAGAAAAGCATGCCTAGGTGTGTCATCTGTGTGCTGATCCAATGTATCTCTCCTGAAGGGCCTTAGGCACTTTTGTGTGCTAAGGCACAACACATAGGCACACTCTCTCTATACCCCTCTTTTATTGTTTGTTTTTGTATCTCTGTCAATTTTCTTGCAGGTTTGCAAGTTTTTGGAGGCTTCAAAGTTGTCATTTTCTTCTGAGTACGGCCCTAAGCTGAAGGAAGACTATGTAATGGTGAAACATCTACCCAAACTTGCAAAGAATGATGATGACTCTGATAGATGCTGTGCATGTCACTGGTTCAATTGCTGTAATGACAACTGGCAGAAGGTAATGCAGTCTCATTTTTCAGATCTTGGCTTATAAATGCACTTGTTTCAAAATGTGTTGCACGCAGCAGATATTAATTTCCTTTCCTCTGTCAAAATATTCCTTTGATAGGAGGTAAACTGGAATGTCAGTGTTAAAGTTTTGTGCTTCATCTAGAGATATCACTTGGTCCTCTGTGCTTACTGCTTATATGTATAGGGATATCCTACTATCGTTTAATGGGAGTGATGGGTTGAATGAAATAAGATAATAAGATTTGAGAAGAGGGTTTTCATATGGGTTAATTGTTGTCATATATTGATTCTATGCTTCTGAGCGTTGGCATTGTTGTATATTACCTTGCTAAAGTATTTCAGATTTGTACCTTAATCATGCCTTATAATAACTCTCAGGTTGGACCATAAAGTTGCACTCCTTTGCTATCATTTTGGCATTTTCAAATTTTACCTTATTCAATTGACCCATGTTTCCTCGGGCATTACGTCTGATAACTATTTACAGGTGTGGGCTGTGCTGAAACCTGGATTCTTGGCCTTGCTGGCTGATCCGCTGGATACCAAACCCTTAGATATAATTGTTTTTGATGTATTACCTGCCTTGGCTGGTAACACTGAGGGCCGGGCATCATTAGCAGTTGAAGTAAAGGAACATAATCCTTTACGCCATGCTTTTAAGGTCAGTAGAGTACTTTCTGTTCACCCTGGAGAATTTTTCCTGCTGATGGGCATTTCATTCGATTTAACATTTTAGTAGTTATGTTCACATTTAAGACATTGTTTTTCATAATCAATGACCATTTATTGTTACTTGCATTTTCTTGTGGTTTGGATAAGATCCCTAACAAAATTTTCTTCCATTAGAAAACCTATTGCGCTGTTCTGCCATCCAAAGCAATACTTAATCCTAGAAATGCTGATAATTAACCTTTACCGACATCACATTAGGGATCAAACATTTAGAATTGAGATAAATTTGTAGGTTTTTCCCATTGAAGAATTTTTTGAGGGTGCAAGTTTTCTCTCTACACATTAAAAGCAAACTATTTATCTCCATAATGGTGGGTTAAGGTGTATCTATGATGAATATATCTATAGAAATCACTTTCTAACAGATAATTGGGAACTTCAAAAGGTCACATGTGGAATTCGGAGCATAAGGTTAAGAACTAAAAGTAGTGCTAAAGCTAAAGATTGGGTTGCTGCAATTAATGATGCTGGGCTTCGGCCCCCTGAGGGATGGTGTCATCCTCATCGCTTTGGCTCTTTTGCTCCTCCACGGGGTTTGACAGAAGATGGTAGTCAGGCTCAATGGTTTGTGGATGGTAGGGCAGCTTTTGATGCAATAGCTTCATCAATTGAAAATGCTAAATCAGAGGTTTGTCCTTTTCACTCTTGCAGGTTGGCATGAGTTGTCAAATCGATTTCTTTAGTGTACAAAACCTATTGCATGATCCTAAAATTTATGCAGATATTTTATTTGTGGCTGGTGGCTTTGCCCAGAATTGTACCTACGCCGTCCTTTTCCTGAGCAGGCATCCTCCAGGCTTGATGCTTTGCTGGAAGCCAAAGCTAAGCAGGGGGTTCAGGTATTGTAATTTATCAAAAGGTCTTTTATTGCTAAGATGTCAATATATAAACCCATTTTTGTTTTATATTGGACATTATCTTGATGGCTGTATCTGAATTACAGCCACTTTATCTAGTTGTACATCTGTTAAACATGTATTACTTCTTTTCTTCCATTTACTTTTGTTTGTCAGTGAGCTCATTCACTGCTTGATGGTTGAAGAATTTTGGTTTGATTTAGAGCCCCTTAAAATTTTACAAAGCTGATTTAATTGTTAAATACGTGTTCAATTTGTTCTTTGAAAACAAAATTAGTATCTGCTTGTACTATATAGGTCTATGGACAATCCAAATATTAGAATCTTGAATTAGCTTATTGCTTATTTTAATTATAACTTAATAATAAAAATTAGCTGACCCTTATTCCCATATGTAATGGGGTAAGGGGGAGGTAGGATAGTAGGCTGCCCCCAACGCCAGGTTGAGAGCAGCTTCCGTAGGAGACCTCCGAATTATGAAATGCCTTCCGTGGGACTCGATCCCACGACCCCAAGGTTAAGAACCTTATGCTCTACCAACTGAGTTGGATGGTCATTTCAATTATAACTTAATAATGATGTGAATATTTCTATGGCTGCAGATATATATCCTTCTCTACAAAGAACTTGCTTTGGCTTTGAAAATCAATAGCGTCTATAGCAAGAGAAAGCTTCTTAGCATTCATGAGAATGTGAGGGTATTGCGTTATCCGGATCACTTCTCTACTGGTGTCTATCTGTGGTATGAATTACTTGGAAAACTGAGTGTGCACGTGCATTCAAGTTGTAGAACATATTAATATATTGAATCTCTTTAGACACTGATATTATTTCTTTTACCTACAGGTCTCACCATGAAAAACTTGTGATTGTTGATTACCAAATTTGTTTTATTGGTGGACTTGATTTATGCTTTGGTCGCTATGACACATTTGAACACAAGGTGGGTGATAATCCTCCCTCAGTATGGCCCGGAAAAGACTACTACAATCCAAGGTAAGCTTTTAGTTTAAGCAAAGATTCTCATTTGAATGTTTGATTTATTATTTTAAGAAAATTGTTGAAATTCCTTGGCCATTTGTTTTTCTCACTTTTGAGTATCAGTTATTATTAGTTATTTTATACTTTATTTATACACCATTCTGTTGTGCTGTTATACCATGAAAGACATCATTACAAAAATATGGTTGGATGTTTTTGGCTGATTTTTCACACTATCATAACTTTGACAGTGGCTACTTGCTTCTGCTTAAAGTTTCTACCACTTGCAAGGTTTTTAGCTTGTGCCTCCTCAATGGATGTTCCCCAATAGTGTGTTGCATTTTATTGGTTCCAATGGGGTTAAGTTCAAAGTTTGTTTAAATAGATCATGACTTCCAAAATCTCCACAATTTGCGACTGGCAGTTGTACCCCCTCCCCCTTTCCTGATAATATTCTTTGATAGGATAAAGGTTAAATATTAATGGTAATGAGTAACTATGGGCTGGTTTGTAGCTGTTTCAGTCTGACCAATTTTGGATTCCATTTTCTTCAGGGAATCTGAACCAAATTCATGGGAAGATATGGTAAAGGATGAGTTGGATCGAGAGAAATATCCTCGCATGCCTTGGCATGATGTACATTGTGCATTATGGGGACCACCTTGTCGAGATATAGCACGTCATTTTGTTCAGCGGTGGAACTATGCCAAGGTCCTGTTTATTTAGAATTAGTGCAGTGAACAATAAAAATTGCAATAACTTTGTTACTTAACAACAGTATGCTGAAATTTTTTACTTATGTACAGAGAAATAAAGCACCATATGAGGAAGCAATTCCACTACTTATGCCTCAACAACATATGGTGATTCCACATTATATGGGAAGAAGCAAGGAAAATGAGTTTGATAGCAAGAATGTTGAGGAAAATAAGATAGGTTCCAAAAGACGGGACTCCTTTTCTTCAGGATCATATTTTCAAGATATTCCTCTACTTTTGCATCAAGAAGCCAAGGAGTTGGATAATTGCAGTGTGTTTTCAAAATCAAATGGGTTGGATACTACTGCCAGTAAAAGTCTTTCTTTTGCTTTCAGAAAGTCTAAAATAGAACCAGCAGTTGCAGACACTCCTATGAAAGGCTTTGTTGATGACCTTGGCTCCTTGGATCTTTATAACGAAAGATCTTCAGATGTAAAAAAACAGCCTGAAGCTGAACTTCCAGACTCAGAGTGGTGGGAGATACAAGAACGGGCTGCTCAAGGTGTTTTTCTAGATGAGGCTGGACAGGTTGGACCACGAACATCATGCCAGTGTCAGGTTGGTTGTACTTTGATCAAGACTTATAAAAAGTTTAGCATCTGCCTCATAGTATTTGTTTATTTTCTACATATTGATATCTCAATTTCTTATTCTTATTTGCTAATGCACATAATATTTCACTGATTTTCTTGTCATATACTTTAACAAACAGCAGATTATCATTAATGAGAGGAAAAGAGTGATTCTTTTTTATTTGAAGAGGGGCTTTATGCTATGAATAGTATTTAATCAGTGTTGATCTATAATTTTCAGATTATAAGGAGTGTCAGTCAGTGGTCTGCTGGAACCAGCCAAATAGAAGAGAGTATTCACTGTGCTTACTGCTCCCTCATTGAGAAAGCAGAACACTTTGTTTATATAGAGGTATATCCTGATTTTTTAAATCTTTTAATGCATTAAGTTCACTAAGAATCAAAATTAGATGGCTTAATCTCTTCACTGTTTCATCCTTGCACAACCTTTCCCAGAACCAATTCTTCATATCAGGTCTCTCTGGAGATGAAATTATTCGGAATCGTGTGTTAGAAGCATTATATCGGCGTATAATGCGAGCATACAATGAAAATAAGTGTTTTAGGGTTATCATTGTCATACCACTGCTTCCTGGCTTTCAGGTTTTCATTTTTGGCCAAGACTCTTTTATTTGAAGATCAGATAACTGCATTTTGTTTTAACTCTTTTTTAAGCTTAACAGGGGGGTGTTGATGATGCTGGTGCTGCATCTGTGAGAGCCATAATGCATTGGCAGTATCGAACCATTTGCAGAGGACAAAGTTCAATCCTGCATAATCTTTATGATCTTATTGGTCCTAAAACTCATGATTACATTTCTTTCTATGGTCTTAGAGCACACGGTAAACTTTTTGATGGCGGTCCCGTGGCTACCAGTCCGGTATGTCTTTGCAACGGCATTTATCTTCATCTATCATTTGCTGGTTCTGCTTAATGTTCTTTACTGACATTAATGTCATGGCAACTTAACAATAAAAGTCTAGATGTAGCATACCATGTTTGACGATTTATTTGTCCCCTTCCTTTTCTTCAGGTCTATGTGCATAGTAAAGTCATGATTATTGATGATTGTGCAGCCTTAATTGGATCTGCTAATATTAACGATAGAAGTTTACTCGGCTCAAGAGATTCAGAGGTATCTTCAGTCCATTCTGGATTGCTTTCTAGATGTCTGAAAACTTAAAGATAGTCGGGGTGGTTAAAATGCTAATGGAGATAAATGAAAAAAATACACTGGCACTAAGATACAAATTGCTTGAAATTTGTTATAACATATTTAAAGGGGGGCTGTAATAGATTTGATTGGTAAGATACTGAGATTTAAAACCCACTATTAGGGTTTGACATTTCTCCATTTGGTATGAAGATGGAAAAACTTGAGGATGGAATTTTTGTTAATCTAATGATTAAGCTTCAGAGGTTATGAATTTAGCCATTTGATTAAGAAAACTCCCATCCTCCTCGTTTCCAATCCTTCATAACAAGCAGAGCTTTAATATGATCAAAAGAGTTTGTTGATGGTTTCAAGGAAATGGAACACTTAAACGTATCTTTGTCCCTCACTAGGATCCAACATATCTTTACCACTTCAACAAGATTAATGTGATGTTTAATATTTCAGATTGGTGTACTTCTTGAAGACAAAGAATTCGTTGATTCATGGATGGGAGGAAAGCATTGGAAGGCCGGGAAATTTGCTTTGAGTCTTCGCCTCTCATTGTGGTCTGAACATCTTGGTCTTCGTCGAGGAGAGGTTTGTGAGCCATCATCAATTGTTTAATTATTTTGCATTCAAGAGTATGCTCATTGAACTAGACTTTTGGATACCAGTTATAATATTTTACATTTCCTATATCATTCAGTTGATATACGTGTTTTTCCTTTTCATTTTCTTGCTCCTCAGATAAATCAAATAATGGACCCCATTACCGATTCGAGTTATAAAGATATATGGGTTGGTACTGCGAAGGTAGGAACTGGAATTACATTTTTGTTTAATATCTTCGCATTTTATATTCTGAAATGCTTCAATTAAAAGGAATGAGAGAATTTCGGGTGGTAATGAAGTTTAACGGGACTAGATGATTCGCATTGTTTAATACGGATTACAATCTGCAACTCTTTTAACTCTTGAGTAACAAATATCGAATGATTTATGTCACAGATGAACACGACGATCTACCAGGATGTGTTTTCCTGTGTCCCAAATGATCTTATACATTCCCGGTACGACTACATCCCTTTCTTGTAAAACCTTCATTCTTTTTTCCTTTTCGATTATCATATTATGATACGAACTCCATGTACGATAAAACGCAGGCTTGCACTCCGACAAAGCAGTGCATTTTGGAAAGAAAGACTCGGTCACACTACGATCGATTTAGGAATAGCCCCTGCGAAGTTAGAATCATACCAGAACGGAGAGATGAAACAGGTGGATCCGGTGGAAGGATTAAAATCGGTAAGAGGACATCTGGTTTCTTTCCCCTTGGATTTCATGAGCAAAGAAGATTTAAGACCCGTGTTCAATGAGAGTGAATATTATGCATCTCCCCAAGTTTTTCATTGAGGAAGGGAGATTGCTAAAGTCTCATTCATGTATCTCAATCATTCTTTGTATGAATATATCATAGATACTAAACAAACCCAAATTTAACCAAACTTACTATGGATCTCTCTTCAGCAACCAAACCAATGATATTTCAGTCCTTTTCGAACCTGCTTATGGCTGCTGTCAAGGAAATACATCACGTACGCAATTGTTTGACACAAAGATAAATGAATTAATTAAAAAATATCTAAATTATATCATTTGTTTATTTTAGATGTTTAAAAGTTTTTTTTTTATCAAATTAGATGTTAATGCCTCTTTCATTACCATTTAAGAGTTCCATTATGTTACCATTTTAGGTCATTTTGTCATTGACATAAAAAAGTTTGTCAACATATTATTTTTTCAAAAAAGAAAACATTGAACTTTTAAAAAAAAAACAAATTTTCTAATTTCTTAAAACTCTAAATTCCTAAATCTCCCTGAAGATAAAAAATCAGATTACAATAGTGGGTGACTATGTTTTGGTTCAGGCGTCGATGTAGTCTCACCAACAATGATAGATAATGATTGAGGAAAATTATTTTCTACGATGAGGTTTAGAGACTGTAATTTCGAATGACATGCGACGCTAAGAGGGGTGATCGATTGATGGGAATTCAACGATAGAAAAGGTGATGATCGATGATGTTCGATATGATGATGATATATGTGATTTAGAGATTTGAAGTTGAGAATTTTAGAAATTGGGGATTTTGAATAATAGGGATTTTATGGGGTTTTTTAAAATAAAATTTAAAAAGTTCAAATAATATGTTATGTGTCAGGTTTTGATTAAATAATGTATTTTTTAACAATTGTTAACGACCAAATACCTTTTGAAAACACTGTATTTACTTTGACCGAAAAAAATTGTAAACACCTAAAATAAACGAGAGTTATAATTTGAGCACTTGTTTTTCAGTTAAGTTAAAATGAGACTTCATCTTCAAGAACCCTTCGGGTTCTAATCCAACACTTGAGATTTCGGTTACGAAAGAACAAGAAGGTCACCGTCGTTAGCTAACGATAGGAAATGTTAATGTGGAGTCTTCTTTCACAAAAAAAATCTAATTTTCTAAATTGAGGAAAAATTTCATTTGACATAATATAGTTTAAGTTGATATAATGGTTAACAGTGGTGAATTAAAAAGTTTTAAATCTTAATTTCTATGGGAACATTGTCTCCTTTCGTTGTCATTTTTATTGATAGACTTTTCGATCGAAAAGATGACAAAATTACTCTTTCTTTCTCGTTAAAAAACATTTCAATCTCTTCAATTGCCAAGCAAATTCTAATAAAAAAATAAAAGTTATTTTTTATATCACTTTCAACCGTCGAACCGGGTTAAAATTAAACTATGTTGATTTTTAACAAAACAAATTCATAGTTGAGATCAATCAACTACCGCTTTATTCATCGAAATGGCAGAGCATATAAAAATTTGTAACCTTTGGATTGTTCTGGAAGAAGAAAAAAAGACTCAGTATTTTTATAATGGTAATTATCAGAAGAGACCATAACAGAAGTTCGGTGATTAAAACGTAAGCTTTAGAAGTTCGGTGATTAAAACGTAAGCTTTAGAAGTTCGGTGATTAAAACGTAAGCTTTAGAAGTTCGGTGATTAAAACGTAAGCTTTAGAAGTTCGGTGATTAAAACGTAAGCTTTAGAAGTTCGGTGATTAAAACGTAAGCTTTAGAAGTTCGGTGATTAAAACGTAAGCTTTAGAAGTTCGGTGATTAAAACGTAAGCTTTAGAAGTTCGGTGATTAAAACGTAAGCTTTAGAAGTTCGGTGACATACTCAAAACTTAATGCGGAGCATGAATGTTTTCTTTTGCTTTGAAGTTTAGTACTGTTTCAATGAAGAAAGGTAAGAATGACAGTATCAGATAACATTTGAAATTAGTTAGGTGAGCCCCAGCCTAGAGGGCTTGGGCTTCCAAAAATTGACGGGCAAGCTCAACCGAAGTAGGGAGGAACTCACTCGCCTTGTAAAGGTGTGTTCGATGTACCAGGTGTTGGCACGACCCGCCGTCTCTATTCGATCATTGACGAGCCATCCTCCACCCTGACAGGACGGGTTCATTTTCCATTTGCTAAATCCCATCCCCATTTTATACACTCGAATTTACCCTTTATTCCAAAAGAACCGATGTGGGATATCAACTTTTCACATGTCAAATTAAATTACAATGCATATCCTGCAACCATCTGTTATAAATGTAGGGTCATGATAGACGAAAATTGCATAAATATTATTTTATCAATAATTTATATAATATTTTTTTTAATTTTTTCCATCTAAATGTATTATTTTTCACATTAAATATATTAATATTTTTATTAATCTTCACATCGGTTGATTATTAGTTCTATATAATATTTTTAAATTCATTTTTATTAAGTCATTGAAAATAAAGATCATATGAAAATAATAGGGTAAAGTACATAAATAGTCTCATGGCTATTAAAAGTTATAAAAGAGTCCCACGATTATAGGATGTTAGTTGTTGAGTCCTTCAACTATTAAAAGTTACAAAATGATCACTCAACTATTCATATAATCCAAACTCGTCTTTTTTCATTAAAAAATTGGTGATTGTATGAGATTGATGTTAACCTGTTGACTAGGGTACGATAAAATATGATTCCATCGTTTTAGTTGTATTTGTACATCAAATCTCCGTTTATATTATATCGTCGAGTCAGTTCTTGAAATATTATGCTGGCGAGTCAATGCTTGAAAGCAATGACGGTGCCGAGAGTCATCATTAAGATATGATAAAATTATGTCTCAATCAGCAAGTTAACACCTAGCTCAGACGAACATCACTTTTTTAAATAAAAAAGGATGATTTTGGAACATATGAATAATTAAGTTACTACTTTGTAACTTTTAATAATAAATGACTAAATCAATGAAGTTCACATTGTAAAAATAAATGAGTATTGCATCACATGTCCCTAAACCATAAGCCTCATTTTAAATTAGTCCTTAAAATTTTAAATATTTCAAATTAATCCTTAAACTATGACTACTATTCTAAATTAGTCCTCAAAATTTTGAACATTTCAATTTCATCCCCAAACTATGACCTTCATTCTAAATTGGTACATAAACTTTTTTGAACATTCCAATTTTATCCCAAACTATACATAAATACTAATCACATCCCTTGTAAATAAAATAGTTAGGCCATGTTATATTATTATATGTTTGAAAAAAAAAACAAAATTTAGATTAAACTATGGTTGAAACTAATTACATATTTGGATGAATTTGAGGATGAAATTGGAAGATTCAAAAATTTAGGGACCAATTTAGAAAGAGGGTCATAATTTAGGGATGAAATTAGAATATTCACAAGTTTAAGGACTAATTTAAAATGAGAGACATAGTTTGGAGATGAAATTAGAATATTCAAAAGTTTAAGGAATAATTTAAAGTGAGGGTTATAGTTTGGGGCATATGATACAATTAACTCAAAATAAATTAAGTCAAAGTCATTTGAAATGAAAAAAGAAAAAGGGATTGTCTCCAGAAAGACAGACTAATATACGGCTAATATACGACGTTACCAGATACATTAAAAGATATTTGATAAATTCGGTTTAGCGCTACCGGAAATATCGAGTAATAATAATGTAATAGGTGGAAATCATGAAGAAATATTAAAAATTTTGGCAACCGACAAATTTAGCTTGTCGGTTTGTGTCGATACTTTATAAAAAAATCCATAACAATATAACAAGTAAAAAAAATGACAAAACCGGTCTATAAATGACAAAACAGGTAAAGCGCTACCGGATATATTGAAAGTGTCGATACTTTATAAAAATGTATCTATCCATAACAATATAACATGTAAAAAAATGACAAAACCGGTCTATAAATGACAAAACAGGTAAAGCATTACCGAATATATTGAAAGTGTCTATACTTTATAAAAATGTATCGATCCATAACAATATAACAGGTAAAAAAATGACAAAACCGGTCTATAAATGACAAAACAGGTAAAGCGCTACCGGATATGTTGATAGTGTCGATACTTTATAAAAATGTATCGATCCATAACAATAAAACAAGTAAAAAAAATGACAAAACCGGTCTATAAATGACAAAACAGGTAAAGTGTAACCGGATATGTTGATAGTGTCGATACTTTATTATAAGTATCGACACTTTTGGAATTTAAAAGAGAATACGTTATAGCGCTAATAAAGTGTCGATACTTTATAAAAATGTATCGATCCATAACAATATAACAGGTAAAAATATGACAAAACCGGTCTCGAAATGATAAAACCGGTAAAGAGCTACCGGATATGTTGATAGTGTCGATACTTTATTATAAGTATCGACACTTTTGAAATTTAAAAGAAAAGAATATATAGCGCCAATAAAGTGTCGATACTTTATAAAAATGTATCGATCCATAACAATATAATAAGTAAAAATATGAAAAAATCGATATCGAAATGACAAAACCGGTAGTAAAAAAGTGTGCTTGTATGATCATTTTTATTTCATAATTTTCATTTTTAATACAAAAAGTTGGATATTTTAAGTAAAACCGAGTAAGAAAATAACAAAAACTTTGCAGTAACAAAAGAATAACATTGGGAAACCCACCATGTTATCAGTTTCTCAAAAAACAAAAACCCAGAAACAAACATCTCTCAACGCAAACTTATGATATACTCTTATTATCTCTATAGGATAAAGTTTGGCCAGTTTTAGTTTCTTAAAGAATAAACTTATGATTGAAGAACTCAAACTGGTGCACGCATAAGTGTCGATGCATTTATGAAAAGTATCGATTCAAAAAACATCGAAATCGATAATTATTATGTAATAAGTAAATTTACAATGTAACCGGTAAAAATATACTGATTAATTAGCAAATAGGTTTACATTATGTATCGACACTCTTTAAATATGTGTCGATACTTTTTTCCCAAAATGAAAGCATAACGAGGTGCACGCATAAAGTGTCGA